ATGAAAAGAAAGTAATTTACTCTTTCATGCATGAGTAAGGTGGGTGTGTTTGTAAAACTTGGAAGTTTAGGTGCATAGAAATAAGTGGTATTTATGTAAATCTTCCAAACGAAAAAAAGCCAATGATATATTGTTTAAATTCTCACAATTTACTGTTTTGATTCGGTTTTGAATATTCAAATTTTGCTGATTTTATTCTGTTTACAGTATCGACCGTTGAACAGGATCCCTCCAAAATTTGCTATAAATGTAAGAAACATGGCCATCTTTCTCGGGATTGTCCGGAACAAATTACTTTGCCTGAACATTCGAATGGGGATGTTCATGATTATTCAAATAGAGTACTGCATAGAACAACCATTGAGATGGACAAGGTTACTATGGAGGAAGAAGGTATCAATGAGGTTGGAGAGGAAGAGAGAGAACTACTTTGCCTGAACATTCGAATGGCGATGTTCATGATTATTCAAATAGAGTACTGGATAGAACAACCATTGAGATGGACAAGATCACTATGGAGGAGGAAGGTATCAATGAGGTTGGAGAGGAAGAGAGAGAAAAATTAAATGATATGGATTATTTGACCGGAAATCCGCTCACGAATGATGTATTATTATACGCTGTACCTGTATGTGCTCCGTACAATGCATTGCAAGCCTACAAGTATCACGTCAAAATAACTCCAGGTTCTGCCAAAAAAGGAAAAGGTGCGGATCTAATCATATATTTCACTCTTGCAATCTCACTTTTAAGGTTGTGAAAATCAGACCGGATGTTTAGTCGGAAATACAGGTTCAAGGTGGTATATATGTAATAAGAAAAGTTTAGGGTTAGATATGTGAAAACATAAGAATGGGTTGGTATGTATGAAAAGGTGCACCTCCACCCCCAACAACCCTTTATTTACATATCTAACACCTAAATTTCAATTTTTACAAATCTGCCTCCTTACATATGCATGAAAAGGTGCATTTCAGTTTTTAGAAGTCAAAATAGTTGCATATTTTTCTGTGTTATAGATGATTTTTGTGGTTTAAATGTAAAAAAGAATTAGGTGTTAGATATGTGAAAACATAAGAATGCAGCTAAAAAAAATAGTTTTTTAGAAAATTGTACTAGAAAAATCACAACATAAACCGCCTTGAATAAACCTCATTTTTAATATATCCCTTATATTCATAATTTGATTCAAAAGACCCTAATCTTATTCATTTAGCCGCATTTACATGCATGAATTCCTATATATTTACATATCTAACACCAAAACTTTATTTTTTCCTAATATTTCTGCCTCCCAAATCTTTCATATCACATAAAATTCACCATTTTGTAAGCTGGCATGTACTTAAAAATTGAAATTTATGTGTGAGATAACATAAATATTTAGAAGTTGAGTGGTATGCATGTAAATATTCCATTAAAGAATCTTAGCAGACAACACTAAAAATAAAAAATAAAACAATACCTTGTGAGCGGAGAATTGTACATAAGGTGATTCAATAGTCTCTTCTACAGTAGATGGATGCTGCACCAGAAATTGAGCAGTTCCATTTGTAAAATTTGGCGGTGAGGACATTGGTAGAGATGAACCAGATGAGAAGGCAACTGGTTGTGGACTAGCAGGTGAAGTCTGGAAGGGAACAGCTGCTGGCCGCAATGGTGAAGAGAAAATAGGAGGGCCTGGAGGACTGCTAAATTGGGTCAGTGGACTACTGCTAGAAACACCAGTACCAGTGTCTGGGGAGCTTATAGATCTGGAAGAAGACAAGAGAAGCTGGTCCTGCAGAGACCTCTGAGGTTGGTCCTGCAGAGACCTCTGAGGTGAAAGTCTTGAAGCTAGCGGAGAAGAAAATGGAGGCCTGTTTATTCTGTTCTCAGGCAGAGAACCTGTCATGGTTGGGGGTGATGAAGAGCTGGAGTACCCCACAGGAGCCTGTGGTGGGGGTGTATCCATCTAGCCCTAACAGTTACTGCTACACAGTTAAATTTAAATTCAGAATTCCATAACAATGCTTTCAACAATTTTCATAAAACTCTAACAAAAAAAAAAAAAAAAAAGTATTCATCGTATAATCTGACGGTAACATCACAGATCAGCATCCAAAAAACCGCAAAATTTGCACTGCTTTAAACGTTTTAAGCCTGAAGACAGTTCCAAAGCAGAAAAAAAAAATCACCAAACCCCAATGCATCAGATTTGCTAAAAAGCAACACGAAAGCCATAGAGCTAATTCATAGGATACAATGACAAAAATATAATTATGATCCAAATTCTCTTAACATTATCTCAGAAATAGGATCGAGATGCCATATACATTCACACATTACTATAAAAAACCTCGAATCCATCGAGGAATGTTTGATTTTGAGACAGACGAGACTACATTAACTAACGAGCTGTTACAAGCTCGAATAAACTGTGAAAATAAGGGTCTGATGACGAAAAGGAGATTTAAATTTACGAAAAAAAAACATAAATATTAAGATAATGAGTTCCAAAATGAGATCAAAGAAGATCTAGGCATTAAAAAAGAATCGAAATCATAGAAATTGCAAGTCGGGAGGTAAAATAACGCGTACCTTCTATAGAAAATCAAGGGATTGGAATCATAGACAGGAAGAGTTCTTCGTCTTGGGATGATCTGAAGAGAAGGAGACGGAGCGAGCTAGGGCATTGAAAGAGTACAGTGGAGGTTGGCTAAAGCTGCGTCCGCTGCCCACTCTAGGAGGACAAGTGGACTTCGTGATTCTCGTAATAGGAAGATACATATGTTCTCCTTTCTACAAAGATGTAAATGAAAATTTACATACATATCATGTAGTTCTTTAGTTTTTACATATTTAGTATCAAAAGTTTGATATTTATATTTTAAATATTTTGTATTTCACATTTTGAAAGACATTGATGCAAATATTTTTTATGTGAAGCTAAACATGTGAGTGGCATTTACATGCATATTACCTAATTCTTATATATTTACATAAATACTGCTTTATTATACATAAAAAGATGTACAACTTTTTTTTTTAAAGTTTAAATTGATGATATCTCTTATATGATATGAACAATTTGAGTGGTATAAATGTAAAAAAATAAAGTTTAGATTTAAGATATGTAAATACGTAAGAATTGGGCTGTGTGCTTGTAAATGCCGCTAATAATTAATATGTGACATAATCTAAACTAGAGTGTTAAACATAAGCGAGCTTAGGCTCAGCTCATGCTAGGCTCGTTAAAAAATACAATTGTTCATGTTTGACTCGTTTATATTTCGAACAAAAAAACTATGTATGAACAAATGTATTGTATTGTTTAGGAAATGCGATATTTTTGATGTGATGTCAAAGATTTGAATGTTATGTATGTAAATATATAAACAATTGAGAGGTATGTTTGCTAATGATATTTTGGAGATTTTTTTCATAGATCTCACAATTTTTATGTATTTACATTATAGCATTTCAGTCATAATCATATTTGTGTAAAATAGGGGTATTTCACTTTAAAATAAGTAGTATTAATGATGTTAAATATTTATGAGGTATATAAATAAATTTTTATTTTTATTTGTAGGTAATCGATATATTAGCAAATAGGGCTGTCAAAACGGTTCGTAGTTCGCGAACAGCTCGTGATTGGCTCGTTAAGAAGCTCGTGTTTGGTTCGTTTCCAAAGTTAACGAACCGAACATGAACAATATGAACAAATATTTATTCGTTCGTGTTTGGCTCGTTTTGACTTGAAATTCTACTAATCAATTATATATATATATCTTTGATGAGTAGTATTTTAAAAAAAAAATTAATTAACTGCAAGGCTACAAAGATTTATAATCAATTAAAAGTATTAATGAAGAAAATTGAATAAAAACTATTAAATTAGATTTAAATGATGTTTTATATCTTGTCCCAATTCTTAACATCTTATGGCTACGTAATTAGGATTGTCAAAACGACTCTTTGTTCGTGAATGGCTCCTGTTCGGCTCCCCCTTGCACCAGCTCGCTGAACAAACGAGCCGAACACAAAAACACTTTTTGAGGCTCGCTCGTGTTCGGCTCATTTACACCCCTATTAGTAAATAGAGCTGAGTGCATTGTTTACCTTTTTTTTCAAACAAAAAATTGTGGATGCTTATGAAATGTATTGTGGTATTGATTCAATACTATTCCCATATAATGAATTAATGGTCTCAAGCGATGGAAGATGATAATGCTGAAAATATTCCATAATAATATTATGAACTTATTGTTCATATTAATAAGTGACATTTACATGCATATTACCTAATTCTTATGTATTTACATAAATATTGCTTTATTATACATAAAAAGATGTATAACTTTTTTTTTTAGTTTAAATTGATGATATCTCTTATGTGATATGAACGATTTGAGCGGTATAAATGTAAAAAAAGTAAAGTTTAGATTTAAGATATGTAAATACGTAAGAATTGGGCTGTGTGTTTGTAAATGCCCCTAATAATTAATATATGACATAATCTCTAAACTAGGAGTGTAAACACAAGCGAGCTCAGGCTCAGCTCGTGCTAAACTCGTTAAAAAATACAATTGTTTATGTTTGACTCGTTTATATTTCGATAAAAAAAAAATGTGTTCGTGTTCAGCTCGTTTGCTTGGCGAGCCTAACACGAGCTATTCAAAAACAAAGAGTCATTTTGACATCTTTAGTCATGCAACCATAGGATGTTAAAGATTATAAAGAGATCTAAATCTTATTTTTTATATTAGAACATCACTCAAACATAATTTAATATATTTTTATTTTATTTTTTAATTAATAATTTTAATTGATTATAATTTTTTGTAGCCTTGTAGTCAATTAAATTTTAAAAAAAAGTTATATATATATATATATAATTATTTCGAGCCAATTTATCGAGCTAAAAAAAAATAATTCGTTTTAGGCTTGTTAACTTAGCGAACAAATCAAACATGAGCTTCTTAAAGAGCTGCGAGCTAAACACGAACTTTTCAGGAACAACGACCCGTTTTGATAGCCATACTCTAACCATTATGGCTCTTTTATATTATTAAAGGAAAAAAAATTTATTTAAATTCTATGTTAAAAAGTAAATAACATATCACCGATTTTCATAAAAAAAATACAGGAATATTTGCATACATATCACTTTTGCAATGTATTTGCATACATATCCCTTAATTGCAATGTATTTACATATCTAACACTTAAAGTTCAATTTTGATAAATATGCCACCTTATTTTTGTATGAAGAGGTGTATTTTATTTTTTTGTAAGTTAAAAATAGTGATATTTTTAATGAAATATGAAACTTTTTGGTGATGAAAAGTTAAAATAAATTAATTTTGAACAGATTATTGAGTCAAATATGATCTAATTCAGAAGTACCAGACTCAGAATTGAGATGATTTATTGTGTTTAATAATACTCTAAACATATATTTTAATATAGTAGAACACATAATTATATACTTAGTTTTCTGAAATGCATAGCACATACTTCATTGAAACTTTATAATATATTGTTGCACCCAGATTTGTCTGTGGATTACACCCAAGGTATGGAGTGTATGAAGGATATAGATTTCAAAATACAAGTTATTTTGTCATATATGTGGCATATAGAAAACAATAATCAGATGTAATATGTTGTTTATGCCCTTGATCTTTTAGTTGTTGGCTTACCTTTGCCAGCCAGGCAATTCATCTCTTAGTGCATTCTTGACAAATCTCTGTGTCTACTGTTTTATGAGTAGGAGCAGCTTCAGAATCTCCGAGTTCAAGTTGAGTCTGATAGGTTGTGTTAATTTAGGTCGATGAATGGATTCTTGTTTAGGATGCTAATTTGGTTGAGGCATGTCTCAACAGAGATATCTTTGGGTCTCTCTATTGGTTACTTCTTTCTCCAGCCTTGAGTCAGGTCTGAATCATTGTAATAATAATTTTTAAGAAATAAAGTTTCTTATTCAGATTTTCAACTTTTGCGCCACTATTTTCCATTATTGTCCTTTGAATTCATGCTCTTGCACTTCTTGTGATGGTTTGTCTTGACTCTGACCCTATAAAAATGGTTGTGATGGCTATAAATATACTTTCTTGGCGTTTTACTTTATAGTTGATGTTTCTTTCAATTGATTCATGGCTCCTGGTGTCCCCCACACCTATTCCAAACCCTAATTTTCTAGGAAACGCCCACAGAGAGCTTTCAGGGTTCCTTCGACAACGGGAGACTTGGTATGATTATGTAATAGTCTCTGAACACCGAAATGGATTCTAGACATGTCATTTGTCCTGAATGAGCGCGTCCAACGGCGGATTCTCCCGGACAAGGTCAAATCATCGCCGGCCCTGATTTCGTGCTCTGAACACGCACTAGGAAGTCTCATATAGGTTTCTTGAGTTACGGGATGTATTAATGAGAAGTGTGTCATCTCGAGTCAGTCAAGTGGACACCTCACGCATGTAACATTAAAAATTTACACCAACAATATGAACTAAATCAGAGATTTAAGAAGTTAAGTTTAAAAAATTAAATATTTTGGATCATATATTTTGTAAGGAACAGCTCAAGATAAGTAGAGGTAATTTATATTTTTATTTGTACTTTTGTGTGAATAACATTAAGTAGAAAAAAATCTTATGGGTATCTAATAAAAATAATTGATTAAAGGATATATAGTTAAAGTGAAGTGTTCTTAATTAAAGTATGCACTTTTAATTAATATAGATGGTTGTCCAAAGAAGTAAAGTGAGGGGGTGGATATTTCTGATAATTATTTTTTTATATGTATTAAATTTAAAGTTTTAAATAAAGAATTTATTTAATGCTTTAGACAATTATTTTATGATTGTATGCATCTTGCAGCTTAAGAATGAAAAGAAATGAATAAGAAAAGAAAAAATGAATGTTTCATGTCATGAAAAGAAAGTAATTTATTGGAAATGAAATGAAAGTATATTTTTTAAGTCATACATTATTACCCCTAGATGGTACTGGTAGGGGATGCAATGTCCTCATGCACGTCAAAGAAAATGGTGTGCGCCTTCGGGTGTAATTTAAGAGTACATTCAAGTACATTTTTTAGGGCATCTTCAGCACATTTTGATGGTGCTTTCGGTCACATTTTTAAGAATGCCTTCGAGTTTGATAGTAAGCTTGTGATGAGTATTAATGTGGTTAAATTGCTAAATACTTAAAGTGAAACGAGAATAAAAAATTTTAAAGCTTTAATGAAATGAACTACATTTTTTTTAATCATTCATGCATAACATAGCAAAATAATTCAATGTAAATTAGATTATAATTACTCACTAAGTTTTACTTACTATTGAAGTCAAATGTTTTCTTTCTAGAGAAGAAAAGTGTTAGGTTGATATGTCTGATAAGAGAGACATTGTTTATCAGAGGAAGACCACTACTAATACGTTTTTTTTATGATGATAGCTTTCTTTGCGATCTCTATCAGTTATTGATTTATTGTTCAGTTCTAGAAAACAAATTGTCTATGGATGTTGTTGTTGTTGTTGTTGGATGACTTAAATTTTTTGGCACCTGTGGATTAGTGACTCTTTTACATATATTGGAAGTTTCTTAAACTTTTTTAAAGTAAAATAAAATGTTAATACCGTCCGACCGCAGTACCCGCCTTAGTTAATTCTAAGCACCGGGTCGAATCATGACAACAACGCACCCGGTCAAGATGCCCATGGCTTTTCATCGTCCCAAGTGCATTAGTATTCATATAGTAGGAGTTCTCCATTGTTACCATAGCGATGATGAATTTAGATCTTCATACTATTAGGTTGTTTGAGGTGTCTCTGTCAGTAACAATGGGTTACTTTATCCTATGATACCTACATAATCCAAGGGGGTAAGACTATTTGTTTTATATGTTCTAGTCCTTAGTTATAGCTATGAATGTCTAGTAAACTAATCTAAGCCTCTAGATTGGACTACTTTAGGGTGTGAATGATCTTTCGTTTTGTCTTTGAGTTGCTTAATCTAGAGTTTCAAGGTTGATCAACCTATATTTTATTTGCATAATTTAAGTTGATGAATTCAAATTGTTTTTAGAGTTTGATATTTAATTCATGATATCTTTTATTCCTAGTTTGATGATCATGATGAAAATCAGGGTTCTTTTAAGTTTAAGTTCTCATTTGATTTTTTATCCTTAGTGTTTTTCACTTTATTTCTCTCTCCTAACTTTGATCTCTAGTGTTAGGTTTATTGTTTTTTGTTGATCTTTATATGTCAGGAATAAGTTTTATTCTAACTTTTAATTCTCATAATATTCATACTTAAGTTTTATTCACATGCTTACTTTTTAGATTTTCACACACACGAAAAAGAAAGTTTTTGTAAAGTATTTTGTCATGCATAAAGTGTTAGCAATGTGAATTTACTTTATCTAAGAAATATGTACGCATGAAACTACCCAAAACTTATGTGCTTAAGGGCTATGCTTATGAATCACATGCTCTTGTAAAAGAATTCTTGAAGCTATACTTATGAAGATGCATAAGTCTTGCTCAGGCTGAATTGTTCAAGTAGATTTGCAAAGCTCATGTAGTTTTGAGCTCACAAGAGGTGTTATTGCTATTTATATTTGAAAATGGTCATTTAAAAGACTTTCTTGAGGTTAGATTTGTTTAGGTTTATTTCATAAAAAAGTTTAGCTTGGGGTTTTGTAAAGTCTTACCCATGCTTTAAATTGAGTTTAAAAAGAGTTATGTTAAAAAGGTTTGTTTTCAGTCTGATTTTAAAAGAGTTTTTATTAAATTTGTTTGAAAGAGATTTTGATTAAATTGAAAAGATCATGTTTAGTTAGAAGTTTTGAAAAATCTTGCTTTGTTTCTATCAAATTTCTTCTCTTAAAATTGTTATCTTTTAAATTTTAATTAGGAATTTTTATTAAAGAAAAATGCATTATTTTTTTCACTATAATTATTTTAGAAAAGTTCATTTTGAAAGGTCTCTATTAAATCTCACTTTGGAAATCTCTCTTGAAGTCTTAAAAGAGGTTTTTTTAAGCTTTCTCTCTCAACCTTATATGAAGATGATCTCTGGTGGAGCATTTTTTAGTTTGTGGAGACTTTTCTAATAAAATATCATCTAAAGCACAAATTTATTTATATATGAAAATGTCTTTTGGAGCACATTTAGTACACATACGCACACAACACACATTTAGAGCACAATTAGTACATATTTTTATAAAAATATTATTTTTAAGAACATTTAGATTATGTATATTTTTTATAAAAATAAAATTTTTTGGGTTAGTCTGGAGCTTTCTCCCAGGTCGAGCAGTTGACCAGCATCTCAAAAATGAACCCCTTCTCAATCGATCGCCGACTGGTCGATCAACTATCTATAGTCATAATCTCACAGCTCAACCCTTCTTGCCTGGACATTTGGGAAAAAAATATTACGTCAGGACTCCTAACGTAGAGCTACGATCGGATTGGAATATTCTGTTGTGTTAAAGGAATATTTCATCTGCGTTATTTGTAAAAATAATATGCTATTCGAATATTATATGGTGTTATTTGATTATTTTGCGGTGTTATTGGAATATTTCCTTATGTTACTTAATTTGGGGTTGTGTTATTCGACATATTCCACATATTATTTCAATTTCCACTATGTTATTGGAATAACACAACCGCAAATCAAGCAATGCGGGAGAATATTCTAATAACACTGTAACCTCAAATCAAATAACGCGATGAAATATTCCAATAACACTGCAAATAATCAAATAATATCATATAATACCCAAATAACACATCATTTTTACAAATAACACAGATGAAATATTCCCGTAATATAGCCGAATATTCCAATCAGAATGTAGCTCTACGTTAGGAGTCCTGCTGTAATATTTTTCCAGACATTTGCTATGTTGAAGCGGGATTGATCTGTTGGCACACCCATCTTGGGACCATTTGGTCCCACCAAATGTCTGTACACACAAACATATAGAGAGAGAGAGAGCTTTTGGAGCATTTACATACATATCAAATAACTAAACTTTCATATTTACATAGATAACGTAAAAATTACCCCTTTTTATTCATAAATTTATAACACCAGTGCTAAAAATACAAACATCAAAGTTTAGGTTCTAGATATCCACATGCATAGAAATCAGTGTTATGTACGTAAATTTTCCTAAATTTAATATATATATATATATATATA